TGCACCAATTGCCATGTCGTCAAGACCTCATTTGGCTCAGCTAGATCCGGCTATGTGGTACCAACTGTCTAAAAAGAAAAGGAACAGTTCTAGCACTAACCTGTCAGGTACATAACGTAGAACATGTTGGAGGTGGTCGAAAAGGATTATTGACGTGTAATGGAGCGATTGGAACGACTGATGGCGCTTCGATGGTGAGCTGTCAGTCTGAGGGCAAGACTACTGCTGCGGAGTATTGCTGAACTGGCAAGCGTTCGTTGGTGGCGACGATAGTAGGCCGAGAAGGTATCCGTGGCAGTGGTTGTACGACAGTAAATGCTTTTAGGGTGTGGGTGACAGTTGCCAATAAAGCATTGACAGCTGTACAAAAGAGATGAAAAGCGTTGATGTATGAAGAGCAAGGTAGAGGGAGCGGCTTGCAGTCAGTCGGACGGGGATGGGGGAAGCATATGTGCCTACTGTGGGATGGAGGAATATATTGCAGCAGGCGAGTGTAGCATGTATCCAAGCGCGTCTCGCCCACCAGTAAAAACGGAGGGGCAATTGGGCTTGTGGAAATGGATAATCTGCGGGTCTTGTTGCGGCTCTGAATGAGGGAGACCCATAGTATGTGCTGGCGAGAAGGTAGCCAACGGTAGAGGTTCCAGAATTTTAGCTAGTAAGAGAGTCAAACCTCAAAAGGTACAGCCTGACCGGTTCGCTCTTGCCACCGTGCTGCACGCAGTAGCGCAGTGAAAAAACGGCTGGCGATCGGACACAATTGCTGTAACCCGTTTTCCCAAGGCTGGACATGTCTCGATCGGCATTGTGCAGGTTTAGACGCCTAGGATGGGCGCATAAACAACGAGGTGGCAGACGTGCATCCTAACAGCACTCTTTGCTCGTATCTCCCGGATGCACTGGGCCCACTAATGCAATATGCAAAGTGAGGGGAGAACGCAAATACGTCAGACTCTGCACCCTTTGTCAAGTGTACCGATACCCTGAAATCTTGGCAACAGAATGCGTGATATCGGCGTATGGTTTGGGAGGCAGGGTCTGAAAGGAATCAAAGACCAGACCAGACGTGCAGCAAAAAAATGGGACTGCTAATCGGCTAGGGTACCAACCGCCAGAGTCGCGACTGGAGAGGAGTTGGACACGATTGTGTGACTGCAAGACAATGCAAAGCATAGTGGCTCGAAGCGAGAACGCGTCACAACAGGCATAGCATGGAGCTACCCGACAGCCCCAGGGGCGAGCGAGACGAGTTGATTGATGCGTTCGAGGGTTCGAGGAGATACCTGGGGTTGGTGTTACCAGAAAGCATCAAGCGTCACTGCCAACGCATACATGCAGAAAGCACGGTCCTCTGAATATCGCTACTGGGAAACGCGCCTGCAGCTCGAATAGGGAAAGGGTCAACGGCTGTTAGCTGTAAGCCGTGTGCATGCAGGCATAAATTGGCATTGCGGAGACTGTCTGATGGCGCTCAAGCACGTTCGCGAGACGTAGTGGAGTACGGTTTGACAGGCGATGATTGACGAGGAGAGGACAGCTGGAGGGGCCAGGCGTTCTCGCGCACGCGATCCCGGTCAATCGAGAGAGACAGAGATGAAGAGTTCACAGACCCTAGGATCCCCATGTTCAAGGCTGGTGGTAGGGCATCAAGCAGTCCCCACTTTGCCGAAGTCAAGACATTGAAGATAGCAGGATGCCAAGCTCAGCACGAACGGGTCTGGAGCTTTGGAAGGAAATTTTCGAATCGACACAAAGGGATCATGCGTCGGGCGGCTGCAGAGCGTACTCGACAATTGACCTGCCGCGAAGTGGATAGCAGCAGTACAAAGGTTGAGGGTGCACAGAGCAAGTCGTCGTGGAGCGGAAGCAAAATTCGGACGATTCGATAGGCCAGCGCGGTTCACGACAGGCAGCGGTGCATGGCTAGGTCCCAGGTCCCAGTAAGGACCGCTTCTGTCTGGCGCCGATCCAAGATGGTGGTTGATACATGGAGCGGGACGATGGCGCTTGTGAATAGCGGCAACGAAGCGCAAGGAACAGCCACTGATATATTGGACAAAGAATAGCGTTTGAAGTCCAGACGAGCGCGTCCAAGGCCAGCAGAATCAGCGCGGAGATGAGTGAACGAGCTTCAGAACTATGTCGCACGCGCGGGAGATCTGTGGATGACGCGAGCGCGCCAGCACGGCCACCCGCCCCAAGCTGCAAAACAGGCGGTGAAGAAGCCAGCGCTGTCAACCATGCGCCCCTCTTTCTGCGCATCAATTCTTGACACTACGCATTAGCAAAGACGACTGTTCTTTGACCTACTCGACCGCGTGAGAGGGCGGCCATTTGGACCGCAGAGTTGTCGGCCCTGGAGGCGTCCTGTCGTGGACATGTCGTCTTCGAATCGGCCTGATTCCATCAATAGGCTACTGAAGACCCACATGTTCGAGCGCTTTTCCAACCAAGAGCACCCTCACCCTCCTGTTCAGCCTCGCGCGGTGAGAGGTGGTGCTGCAGCCGGGTGTGGTGCAGGGTAATCTAGAGGGGCCGGGTTTCGCGTCCATTACCGATGCTCGATGAGGGACACAACGCACCGTCCCGACCCTCCGAATCTCGACATTGCAGATTGCAGCCCCTCAGGGTCCATTCACCCTTACACAGCTCGAGGATGCGGTAAAGGCTCTGGCCAGCTCTTTCCACGCTCCATGTGTGACGTCTAACAGCATATGACTGCCATCCTTCACCGGCATCGGATAGCGGTGTCTGTCGTCTACTGTCAGTAGCATCAGTTACCCCACGATTCAAACCGACATTCCCTCTCTAGTGACACGTTTCAGACTATCGAGAAAGGCATGGATTGCGCACCGAGGATGTACGCCTCGCCGTCTCGTAGTAGACAGGCTACGTAATTGCTGTCAGCTCACAAACAGACCACCCGTCGTACAGGCGCCGTACGCGGGGTCAACGGCCAGACTACGGCATCCGCAAAAAGCAAATGTAATTAGACCGTAGATGGAGTATGTACTACGTCTTGAACAATACGCTGTGCAAAGCGTAGGGGAACCGACGTTGACGTTGACGTTTCGAATGGCTCTCCGCCTACTCCGGAGTCCGACAGAGTACCTAGATATACCAACTTGACAGCCTCATACATAATATACACACATTCATACAACGAGCGGAATCATAGAAACCACCACTACGGCTTCTCTCCAATCACCAAAACCGACAACCGTCAAGATGCCCAAGATCGTCCGCCTCACCATGTTCAAGATCCCCGACCAGGAAATGGTCAAAGAAGCCATCCAAATGTACAACACTCTCGCCCAAGACGCGAAAAAGGTACGTCGAAGGCATTCCTTGACTCGCCAATATCCCCTCCAAGCCTTCCCATTCCCGTTCCAGATCTCCATACATACCCGCTCTCTCAGCCGAGTTACGGCCAGCACATATCCATCGAACGTGCAGTCCATATCGCCCGCCCCCTGCACGACGGACCATCTCGTCACGTCGGGACCCCAGATTTATTCTAGTCGCCCTCGGGCTATTTCCATCTTGCTCCCTCGATAAGAAAAGAGCGGATAATGGCGTCAACCCTCCTCTTCGCGCGCGCGGAGCAATGTCCCTGGCGGGTAATCGCTGGAAATATTGCCGCGGCTAGGAGAAATGGGGTGGGGGTGACGAGGCTGCAGCAAGCGGGCGACACCAACGAGCGCGCGGAAACAACTCCGAGTCACGACGCACATATCGGCCGCCTTGGATCCATTGAAGCCTCACGATGAACAGACTGACGCTAGAGATATACCGACAGCCTCCGCACCGACTGACTTCCGAGGCTATCGTCGTCCGCCGTTTGTTGTTTGTTGCTGCTTATCGAGAGGATGCATGCTAACGTCATTGTGTTTTTGTGCAGGACGGCAAGACGTACATCCAGCTTGCACAAGCCAATGCCACCTATGACGACCCGCGCAGCCAGGGCTACACGATGCTGGCGCGTTGCATATTCGAGTCTAAGGAGGATATGGACTACTACGACAACCAGGATGAGGCACATGCTAAGATCAAGGCGCACTTTAAGCCGAAGGTCAACTCGCCGCCGCTCGTCCTCTACTCGGATATGTCATAGAGGGGCTGGGATGTGGGGTGTTGAGCGCCGTAGTGGAATACATGGAATCGAAAGAGTAACACATGGCAAACTTTGTTTTCTGTTGTGATGATGCCAGAAATGACGAAAGATAGCGCATATGCCTACGCAACCTTGGAAGTCTCCACGACAGCATCAGCCCAGTAGAGAAAAGAAGAGTCATGCTCGGCCAGAAAAATGTATTGACAAAGTATGGAACGTGATAACTGGGATTGATGGCATCAGACCTAGCTGCAGTCTCATAGCTCGGCCCTTCTTTGTCTGGTCCAACATCTTTGTCTAAGACAACTCCGATGATTTACGTGCAAACCGGACAGTACGAGCTTGAGCTCTTCTATCATCTCGCCCGAAACTTCGGGTTAAGATAACTGCCTGACTTCCGGGCAAAGTGAATAGTCTGAAATATGGATTTCAGATAGTCTTTGATGAAGATCATCTACTGCCACGCACAAGACATGTCAACCATGAGTGAAACATCTGCTGAAGCCGCTCACCAAGCCTAGAAACAAAGCCATGACCACAAAGAATATTTCGTGCCGACTTACAATGACCAAAGCCGGTATACAATGTCACAATCAAATTGATTCCGCTTCTTTGACCAGAAGAAAGAGACAACATCTTTACTGTCCAACAAAAGATACCTGTGTATCGTGGTCATTACCGGCTACTCATAAGAGTGGAATTGGACTCACCCCCATCGTTATTTACCTAGGTAGCAAACCTGAACGACCTTATGGACATGCAATAGTCTTCGACATAAACTCAAACACTAAACTCACCAGCACGACAACATCAACAAAACCAGAAACCTTTCCAATTTCCCCTTACCTCCTACACAGGTGCCCGCTGAAGTTGCAGCACAGGAACCATGTCACAAAAAAAGCGTCAAGCACCATCCTTACCGGGCCTACCAACGTATGACTCCTCCGCCTCCTCCTCCAGTAGCTCAGAGCCAGAACCAGAAGACTACAAACCAAAGGTCAAGCAAGAAGCAGCCGTAACCCAACAAGTAGCTGCAACCCAAAATGTAGAGCCAGTCCAAAAGACAGAGCCAGCCCAAGAAGCAGAGGCAGCGCCAGGAGTCATTGGACACAACTTCCCGCCGGGCTCACCCACAGAGTCCGACACCGACGAACCCGAACCCGAACTCGATCCACTCTCAGGTGATATAAATTGGGATAGCGACGAAGAACCACACGGAAACGATGGTGAAAACGAAGCAGGACCGCAGACCAGCGGCGTCGGGGCCCAGAACCCCATAATCGAAGTGCCCGTAGAACGTATGTACAGAACCCCATCGTGGGGACACACCGTATACTCATTCAACTCAGCAGCTTCCTCGCCACTAGGCCCAGAAATCAACACAGCGGCGTCCTCGCCGCTCGGTGCAAGGAGTCCTACTCCACCTCCTCCGTCTCCAGGTCCACCTGCGAATAAGCAGAAGGAGAAAGGTATGCCAACGGGTATTGCTCCGAGACCAGGAAATCAGGATGCGGAGACGGGTATGGAGGATGACGCGCCGGATGCTGGTGTAGCCCGCGCAGTAGCCGCAGCGAAGAAACGAAAACGCGAGGAGGAAGAGAAGATTAAGCGCAAGGCTCCGCCGCGGAAGAAGACACGGTTTGCGTCGCCGGAGAAGGGGGATGACGACGACGACGAGTCTGATGCTCCCTCTGAACCAGCAGTAGTTGAGACGGGGAAGAAGCAGAGGAAGAAGAAGAACGACAACGGGAAAAAGGAAGGCACAAAGCCGAAACCGGGCAAAGCCCCTCCCAAGAAACCGACAAACAAGAAGCCGAAAGGCGGCAAGGCAAAGAAGGGTGAGAATGTACAGAAAGTGAAGTGTAGTGGAAGAACGACCAAGGGCGAGCCGTGTAAGAACGAGAAGAACATGAAGGAGGGAGATGATTATAACTGTGGGAAGCACAAGTCTGATAAGTGAGGAAGGTACCTAGGTAGGTGACCGAATCGATAATCAACGTGTAATTGTACGCAATCTTCAAATGGAAAGCTTTGTTTTCATGTTTTGGTATTCATACCTGCAGTACAGTACATGCACACATGATCTCCGTTTCCGTCTCCATCTTCATCCCCATTCTTCCCCACCTCATCTTGAAAAGGGCAGCATGCCGAAGCACAACCTTGCTTATATCCCATCGCTAAACTCAACCCAACCCAAAGCACCCATCCATCCGTACCAAACCAGACGCTTTTTCGTATCGTGAACGCACTCCCCATGCTGAAGAGGGGAGATGTAGAGTGCTTGTAGAGACGCCTCCGTAGAAAATGCACAACTACTACCACGCAGTTCTATATGCCAGCCGGAGTGTATGCAGAAATATACAAGAAAGATACACGTTATTAAAAAAAGTGTGTGTAGAAGATTTGCGTCGACGTGTCGTTCGACCGGGTATCTCGTGGGTGCGTTTACATGATAATCGAAGGAGCTAGAATGTGTTAGTCACTGAAATCCACATTGCGATGTGTGAAGGGACACTTACTGTCAACGTTCTGCTTGATAGACTTGTGCGGCAGAACCGAACCACCATTAACGTAAACCTCATCACCAATCGTAACATCATCACCAAGCACAGTCACGTTCTCGAGACGCGCCCACTTGCCCACGGTGCTGTTCCAGCCGACAATCGACGACTTGACCCAAGCGTGGTCCTTGACGCGGCTGTTCTTGAGCAGCACACAGCGCTGGAGACGCACACCGTCGCCGATGACGACATTGGGGCCGATGGTGACGTTAGGACCGATGCGGCAGTTCTTTCCTATCTTGGCAGACTCGTCGATTAGCACGTTGCCACCGTAGACGTAGGGTTCCGAAGCGGGGGTCAGCAGCTTGGAGTTCTTGCGCGCGAGCGAAGAGAGGTAGAGGCATGTTCCCGACAGGAAGTCCTTGGGCTGACCGACGTCCATCCAGAAGCCCTCGAGGTCGAAGGAGTGGAGGAGGCCGTCCTTGACAATCGCAGGGAAAGTCTCTTGCTCGATGGATGTAGGGCGGAGCTCGATGCGCTTGAGCACGCTGGTGTTCATGATGTAGATACCGGCGTTGATGCGGTTGCCGACGAACTCGACGGGCTTCTCGACGAAACGGTCGATCTTGGAGGCGTGGCCGGGCTTGTGGACTACGACACCGTATTTGGAGGGCTCTTCGACCTTGGTGACGACGATGGTGCCTTCGTCGCCGTGCTGCTTGTGGAACTCGGCGAGCTGCTTGAAGGGGTAGTCGCAGGTGACGTCGGCGTTGAGGACGAAGAAGGGCGAGTCGTCCTTGCCCAGGACGTTCTCGGCGAGCTTGAGGGGGCCGGCGGTGCCGAGGGGCTCGGTCTCGACGGAGAATGTGATGGTCACGTTGTATTGCTTCTCATACTGCGCAGTCGGTTATTCGTGTGCTCTGGTTTGCCGTGGGGTGGGTATACTGACTGTCTTGAGCGCCTCGGCCATGATCTCCGGGCGGTAGTTGACGGCGAGGACAACATCTGTGACGCCGGCAGCGGCGAGGGCCTCGATCTGATGCTGGATCATGGGCTTGTTCGCGAACTCGACGAGCGGCTTGGGGTAGGTGAGGGTCTGCAATTGGCGTTAGCATGGCCGTTGCTTTTGGCATCGCGGGGCTCTCGAGCGAGGGCTGCGCGGGGAGGAGGGCTTACGAGAGGCCTCAGACGGGTACCGAACCCTCCGACGAGAATGATGGCTGCATCGGCTGTTAGCTACACATAATAGAGTCGCAATTGGCCAGGCGTACCTTTCATATTGGCGGTGTTGTAGTTGTGTAAAGGTGCAGGTACTAGGAACGTGTCGCAGCGGAGAACGGAAGAAAACAGTCAAGTCTTCAACACAGCACAAGCAGACAGTAATTGCCGGGTATAGAAGAAGAAAAGAGTCACACGGTCGAGTGAAAGCGCAGGGCAAAGAGCAAGGGAGCTTGTTGGTGATGAGGCCAGCTGTAGGTTATATGCGTCGAAGCACCCGCGTCCACAATTAGCGGAGCTAATGCTTTCCCTGGAAATGTTCTAGCTCACACCGGCGCCGGTTCCCCTTTCTTTCACCCACCACATGCGCAACCCCCGAGTCCCGCTACGCCTCTTCAACCCACTCCCTAACCGCTATCGTGATCGTGGCCTGGCCAGATGGGCCCTGTTCCTGATCGCTCGCCCTATCCGCTTCTAATTCGGGGCGTAGCTTCGTGTTGTGACTGCTAATAGGCTGAGTTCGTATTCCATCACGAGGGAACAATCAGCTCGTCTCATTTCTGCGAATTGGGTACGTGACGCTGGTCACCGCTCTGTTCTCCCTTTTCCAGAGCGAATTGCACCACGTGCCCGTGAAGCTGTGAATTGGGCGGCGTGGTCATCTCAGAATCTTCTGATCACGCCTCGGTCCCCACGTCGGGACCCTGAAAGCTATCCCGCGCCCCTGGTACCGCCGACATGTGGCTAGCTGTGGCTGACCGAGAACACTACCAAGCCTTTGACAAACGCCAATGTATCTGTCACGTCGCTCATGGTGCACCTGATCATTCATCAATGCACGACGTTTTGGATTTGCAGATCCATGGTACCTCCACTCGGCCCCTCACAGCCACACTCACGATGTTCGCTCCCGCTTCAATCAGCGTTCATGCGACGCGCGTCGTGTGTTGGTGGCGAGATTGCCACGATCATGCGTCCAATGCGCTTACGCAGTCTTGAATACGGGTAGATAAAATAGAAGTGCGCTTCTGCCGTTATTTTGATCTAGTCTCCACGATGTTCTTCGGTTGCCAGCGGGACTCCCCTCGGTCATTGCAAACCATGGACATGGCATGCCAGGACCAGACCGTTTCTTCTCCGCATGCATTGGCTGAACGCTGGTTCTGAATCATGTAATATACAAACTCCCCGTACAAACGCCCAGAACACGTACTATACACAACTTCGTAACCCATCTCACATCCTACAGACTCATGTATTATCTCAACTCCTCTTCCGAAAGCTCATCGACCTCAACGCATCCCCCACACTACTCCCCCGCTTGAACATGCCCGGTCTCCTCCCGGGCCCATCCGTAGGACTCCGCTCGGGCGACAAACGCTGCCCTTGATTCCTCGGGCTCCCCGTCTTCGTCGGCGTCTTAACCAGCCCCTCACCAAACACAAACTCCTTTGCGAAAATCCAATTTCCACGTTCATACCTCCACAGATCCAAACCCACGGCACGACCCTCCTGGTTCCTCTCACTCAGCTCCTGGCGTATCGTCGCGAATGCGCTGTCTACTTTCGTCTCCTCATCGACTTTGTTCATGACGGTCCAGTGAGGGCGGAAGCCACCGGCGTCTTGCTCGCTGAGGAACTCAGACCAATGGGTTTGTAGATCAGCGTGGACATTCTTCATCTTTGTGTAACCTGAGTCGACGTTGATGCCTACGCCTTTGCGCATCCGGAAGGGCTTGCCGGTTGAGACATCGAAGGGTTGGATGCTCCCAGATACCTGTGCGAGGCCTTGCTCTAGCGCTTCCATGTGCGAATGTGGGAGAGCGTGGAAGAGGGTCAGATGCGCGCCTGTGCGGTTGAGGTGCTTAGGGAAGTACTGATTTCGCATGTCGTCCATTGGTTTGGCTAGGGAATCTGTGAGTTTGAGCGTGAGGACGTAGACTTGTTCATCTTGACTCGCGGTGTTCGGTCTGTGCTCTTGTCGGGGATAATGTCCTGAGGGTCGACTTTCCTCCACAACGTATGGCTCATTTTGAGCTTGCTTAGGACTGGTCTTGCCTTCCTTCTTGGTTGACCAGCCGCGGAAACTCGTTTTGGCACGGATTCCTGCGCCGGGCCGTTGGGGTTTCTTGGTCTGCTCTTTTTGCTGCGCTTGCGTTGCTTCAAAGGATGCGCGTAGATCTGGGTCTGAACAGGCTCGGGCTTGGATTTGAGGCTGCCGAACCCCGCCGTTGGGTGTGCTGACGGCGGCTGCGTAGGTAACTGCCATTGTGCTGAATCGTGGTGATGCTGCTGATGTGATCCCGTTAGACGGTGGTGATGACAAAAATTGACCCAGCTGCCTGAGGACAGCAATCCTCATCGAAAACGGGAATGTGGCTGGTGATGTGAGTACTTTCATGAGCTGCCCCTTGAAATGTTGTACGGAACTTCGGAAGATCACATACGTCACTCGACGGCCACTAGCGATGCGCCCGCGCTATGTGGAGATGCCTCAAGCTATCGCGTTTAGCTTTATAGGACGGGAGTACCCCAAACCTCGTGATTTCAGGTGGAGATGCATTGAGTCGTAGGCTTCGAAGTATTGTACCGCAGTATAATTAAGTATATATACCGTGCCAGAGTGTTCAGCCGCCGCAATGTATGCTTGCTCGTATTCTAAGACCCACAGTTCTCGCTTCTACAGCGACCAGCTGCCTCCAGTCTATTTGGAACTGTCCACGGGTATCAAAAACTCCAAAACTCCACGACCTAAAACATGGTATCTGAGCAATATAGGTCCCTAGATGAGCGTCTGCTGGTGGTGCGCCATCTTCCAATCGCCTGACACGCCCTCTGAAGCACCTTCCAGCACCCATGCGCTCGAGCAGATGGCCCTGAACGTCTCGCTGTCCCTTGTCGCCTCTACGCGGTAGTAGATCAGCGCGCTGTCCTTGCCCAGTATGACGACTTCATCGTGGCTGAGTTTGTATGACTTCCAGGGCTTGAAGTCGGGGCCTTGAAGCATGTTGTGGACTGTTGGGGACGATACAGAGGTCAGGATGAGGTCGCTCGGGAAGATCATGACGGGATTGCTGGAGAGAAGCGGGACGAGTTCGGCGCCGGAACTGCATAGCGCTGCCCAGGCTTTGTGTTCGAGCGAGCATATCGCAGCGGTCAAGGACGGGTTCGTGAGCGTTGGCATCGTCATAGTGATTTCGAATGTCGCGATGACTGAGATTGGTATCGGGTAAAGTGTTGGCGGTTCCTAAGTTACTGCAGTGCTGCAATAGTGAGCCGGCCAAGATGATGGCGCCACGTTCAAGGCAGAGCCTACCCCGCGACGCCATTGTGACATCACATTTCCAATTGTCGATGCTTGCCTGGGTGGCGTTTTCGATACTTACCGTCGGTATCGTCGTGTCCAGATGATGCGACGTTATTCGAAACAGTGTCGCAGCTATGCGTTGTCGCATCGCAAAATTGATTTGGTCTACCAGCCAAAAGCGCGCCTTCACAAAGAGGAAGGTTGCGCGCCACGGGACCTACGCGATGGCCGCGCAACAGTCTTGCATGGTTGAAATCTTCTCTACGCGATTTCAAGCTTGCCAGACGATGCTCGCCACTTGAAGCCAGGAAGGTGAATCGCTCGGCGGACCCATGCCGGGTATGCGGGGTGCTGCGAGTAAGCGGGTCCGTAATCGCAACGTCGTATCGCGCATCCATACTCCGGTGTCCCATGCCGGCCTCTGCCCACGCGATAGGTGAAGACTCGGGATGCAGAGTTTGATCAAGATCTGGATGGCGAGTGTCATGGAATGTCTTCGGCCGTGGAGGCGCCGGTTGAGGACCGCAGAGGCAAGGGCGCAGCTGCCTTGGTGGCGTCTACGTCACATGTCGGGCGCATGCTGGTCCAGGCTCCAGGCGATAACGGGCGGTGGGCCAGCGGGGAACCTGCGCGGTGTAGCAGTGAAGAGCGGCCACGACGGTGATGGAGCACAGTGAGGAGGTAATAGACAATGGATTAGGCGCCGTCGTGAAGAGACAAGCCGAGTGATGGCAAACAGCGAGGTCAAGTAATGGCCCGTTGCCTGCGGTGTGTGGAAGCAGCCGGAATGTTCCCGTGCGCAGCTGCTGATTGGCGCACGGGCTCTCGCCGCATCATTACTCACTCACTGCCTCAGCCTGCCTGCATATAAACCAGCCTCTCCCCTCTCTTCCTTCTTCTCACACCACTCTCACACTCCTGCAGCCCACTCATAAGCTGTTCTACCCAACCAACACCACATCCACACCGAGACACAGCACACCGCAAACATGCAGATCTTCGTAAAGACCCGTAAGTAGTCACCGCCACCGCCATGTCTCTGCGCCTCAGCTGCTAACACGCTCACAGTCACCGGCAAGACCATCACGCTCGAAGTCGAGAGCTCCGACACCATCGACAATGTCAAGAGCAAGATCCAGGACAAGGAGGGCATTCCCCCGGACCAACAGCGCTTGATCTTCGCCGGCAAGCAGCTTGAGGATGGTCGCACCTTGTCCGACTACAACATTCAGAAGGAATCGACCCTGCATCTCGTCCTCCGCCTTCGTGGAGGTATGCAGATCTTCGTCAAGACCCGTAAGTTGCCACGTCGCTGTCCATGACCCAACACCCTTACTAACTCTCTCCAGTCACCGGCAAGACCATTACCCTTGAGGTTGAGTCCTCCGACACCATCGACAACGTCAAGTCGAAGATCCAAGACAAGGAGGGCATCCCTCCGGATCAACAACGCCTCATCTTCGCCGGAAAGCAACTCGAGGATGGCCGCACCCTGTCCGACTACAACATTCAGAAGGAGTCCACCCTGCATCTCGTCCTGCGCCTGCGCGGTGGTATGCAAATCTTCGTCAAGACCCTGACCGGAAAGACCATCACCCTTGAGGTGGAATCCAGCGACACCATTGACAACGTCAAGTCGAAGATTCAGGACAAGGAGGGTATCCCTCCGGATCAGCAGCGTCTTATCTTCGCTGGTAAGCAGCTGGAAGACGGCCGTACTCTCTCCGATTACAACATCCAAAAGGAGTCCACGCTTCACTTGGTGCTTCGTCTCCGTGGTGGTATGCAGATCTTCGTCAAGACTCTTACTGGAAAGACCATCACATTGGAAGTCGAGTCCAGCGATACGATTGACAACGTAAAGTCCAAGATTCAGGACAAGGAGGGTATTCCTCCTGACCAACAGCGTCTTATCTTCGCTGGTAAGCAGTTGGAAGACGGCCGGACGCTCTCAGACTACAACATCCAGAAGGAGTCTACTCTCCACTTGGTGCTTCGTCTGCGTGGCGGACAGTAGGTGGTTGATGATTGACGGTTCACGATGATATCTGGGACAGGGCGTTCATGGGATGATCTGCCTGCGGGAGATCTGGTCTTATTCATAGTTTACACGACGGCTGTTAAAGCCTGAACAATGCATTAAGCATGCCTACGGGCGCTGAGAGTTTCTCAATACTTGTCTTATGTGATGTCCCTGTAGCCTTTTGTTTTTGCGACACACATCCATTTGCTATCGCTGTCGTTGTCGCCATCTTGGTACTCAGCAAGACCAACGGCTTCATTGCGACGCCGAGAGCATGCGCTGCTGCCACGACGCTCATGTACCGCGGCTTCTTTCCGTTGACCCCACTTCTGACGCCATTGACCAACATTATTTCCGCTAACTCCATGAACTACAGTGGCACGTCGCACCAAATCCACATCTTCAAAGAGGAGAGAGTACCTTCGGACCCATTTTACAGCTCCTAAAGTCTAATCTGACTAAACCTGCGGTCTTTCCAGCTACTTCCGCCACCATCTCCGCGACAACCACCAATATATAGCTATCGCCCCGCCGTGTAGAACAACAGCTTCAGAGCTATACACTACGAACGATACGCTCCTCGAAAACACAAGCGATTGCAACAATGGCAGACCAGAAGATGCAATACGTCAAGTACGGATACCTCCATTGTTGAGCCAAGGACCAGCCACGGCAATAACAACGCTGACTGGAGTACAGCTTGGGCAAGTCCGGCCTCAAGGTGTCCAAAGTCATCCTGGGTGCCATGAGCTTCGGTAGTTCAAAGTGGCAGCCGTGGGTCCTGGACGAGGCTGAGAGCTTGCCGCTTCTCGAGCATGCATACAAGAGCGGCATCAACACCTGGGACACGGTAAGCCTATAAACTTGGCCTCATACCACTGGGACGCCGACAAGGCTGTAGAGTATGCAGAACTAACACGCGACAGGCTGATATCTACTCCCACGGCCATTCGGAGAAGATCATCGCAAAGGCGTTGAAGCAATACAACATCCCGCGCAACAAAGTCGTCCTCCTTTCCAAATGCTACTTCGGCGTCGTCGAGGAAGACCCCAGCCTGGGCATCGCATCCGTATCCACCAATGACGGCGAGATGGTCAACCAAGTCGGCCTCAGCCGCAAGCACATCTTCGACGCGGTCGAGAAGAGCGTCGAGCGTCTCGGCACCTACATCGACGTGCTTCAGATCCATCGTCTGGACCGCGGTACACCCCGAGAAGAGATCATGAAAGCGCTCAACGACGTTATCGAACGCGGATGGGTTCGTTACATCGGCGCGTCTTCAATGGCGGCGTGGGAGTTCCAGACGCTACAGAACATCGCCGACCGTAACGGCTGGCACAAGTTCATATCCATGCAAAACTACTACAACCTCATCTACCGCGAGGAGGAGCGCGAGATGATTCCATACTGTCAGGACACCGGAGTCGGCCTCATCCCGTGGAGCCCAATTGCTAGAGGCGCACTTACTCGTCCTTGGAGCGACCGCTCCTCCAAGCGCGCTGAGACGGACAAGTTCCTTGAGATGCTAGTGCACGGTCGCGAAGACGCCATTGACAAGAAGATCATAGAGCGTGTGGAAGAGGTGGCGAAGAAGAACAACGTTAGCATGGCGTGTATAGCGACCGCGTGGACGATTAAGAAGGGAGTTTGCCCCATTATTGGGTTGAGCTCCAAGGAGAGGATCGAAGAGACTGTACGCAACAGCAACTTCAAGCTCAGTGATGAGGACGCGAAGTATCTGGAGGAGGTATATGTGCCGAAGGCCAGGCAAGGCTTTTAGATGATAGTGTTAGATTTTGTGGTTTGAGGGCAACGCCATGGAGTCACCATCAAAAGGTCTATGGGCCTCACTCCGTTCAAAGAAATGGCTAGACATCTAGAATTATGCAATGTCTTACGATCTCGTCGACGTTTATTGTTGCATCGATATAGCCTGCG